AAATTTCTAATTTTAACTTATTTTCTTTCTTATTAGGGCTGTGATGTTTTATCGCACCGAAAAGAACTTTCCTGTACCATTAAGGTACAAGTCATATGATCTAGCCTACCCTAATTGGAAGATAATAAAGCTACTTCTCACTACTACTTTTAACAATTAATTTTAGTTTTCTAATTAATTCAATAACATGTTTATTGATTTTTTTTATGCAGTGCCCACGACAAATAGCATATAGTGAGAATTGTGGATATTGTGTCATGAGATTTCTTAAAGACATCATCACTCATGGGATGACTCTAATCCCCCCTGTGGCATCTATGTTATTTACATTAAATTATATGTGATTATGAATTTTAATTTGTTGAAATAATTAACTTTTTTGTCATATTACATTATTGCAGTATTATTCCAATTCATATTGTGACAAATTCATGGATCATCACATCAACAAAGTTATTGAGGAATGGTGCGAGTACATTTTCTAGTTGTGGGCCAAAAATAAGTAAATTATACTTTTTTATTTTATTTTTTATAATTTAGAATAATTTTAGTTTAGTCTAGCAAATAACTTTGTTTTACTTAATACAATGTCGAGCAATTGTATAGGTAACAAATTTTTTTATTTTAATAAAATTGTTAGTCTACTATAATTCAATTTAGTTTAATATAATTATAAATTGAACTAAATTGAATTAGATTAGTTTGTATTTGCATTATACTATTACAGGGGGATGCAAGAAATGCAGCCAGCGTATTAAAAAATTATAATATATTGGATGGTTATTTACTATAACTCTCCAATAACCGTCCAATATATTGTTATATTGGACGGTTATAATTTGAACCGTCTAATATGTCTTAGCATATTGGATGCTTCTGACTAAAATTGTCCAATATGTCCATATATTGGATGGTTCTTGAAAATAACCGTTCAATATATTCTTTAGCTATACCTCTTTTGACATTATATTGGACAGTTCAAATATATAATATTGAACGATTCTAATAACTGTCCAATATTTGTTTTATTAATATATGACGGTCCCATACTGGACGATTCATAACCGTCCAATATAAGCAAAAATAACTGTTTAATATTTTCTTTTTTGTAGTAGTGTCACTTTAATTCGAACATGCAGTTGGGTAAGAAGAGTATTTTTTTAGAATATTGTGGCATTTGATTGTAATGAATATATGCAAAATCTTGGTATCATGATTAAATTTGAAGATACATGATGGGGAAAATATTTAGGAGAATTTCCAAGAAAAGAAATTTCAAGATTTAAAGCTCAAAACGGTGTTTATTTATTCATCATTATATCTATTATGGTCTTATTGAAATTATTTGTTGTATAAGACTTTCAAAGTCCTCACAAGTTTTTAAGTTAATTAATTTGTTATATATGGTGATAAATTATCACATGTGCTTCACTAAAATTGTTTTATATGTTTTGATTGTGTGAGACTTTCAGAGTTCTTGCAAGCTATTGTAAGCTTATTAAAATATTTGTCACTAAATTGTTTCTCAAATTATTTTTATAAATTACAAAAATAAAAATCTATGTTAAAAATCATTTTATTAAAAAAGGATAATAAATATTTTCCTTTGAAAAACTCTCAATGAAGAGACACATATTTTTACCTAAACTATTGAGCTTCGATTTCTCATCAAAAGGGTACCTAAGCTATAGAGTTTTATCTTAGGTCAAGTCACTATTAGAAAAATATAAATTAGTGAGGGAATTTAGTGAGGGATTATTTATTCCTCTCTAAAATACCAAATTAATGAGGGACTGTTAATGCCTTTCTAAAATAAGACAATTAGTTAGAAAAATAGTGAAGGACTGTTAATCCCTCTCTAAAATAAGATAATTATTGAAGAATTTAGTGAGCGATTCTATCCCTAGCTAATTAATGTAAAAAAAAATTAACTTGGGCAATGACTTTTAATTATATATTTAATTTTTTATTTAAAAATAAAAATTAAATTTAAAAATTAACTAAAATATTCATAATAAAATTATTTAATATTTTCTTTATTTTTAATTTTGTTTTCATTAATAAAATAATATTTTATTAAAGATATAATATAAATAATAATTTAAATAAGATATAAATATTTTTAACATATTAATAATTGAAAATAAAATTTAATGCGTATTTTTATAATATATTATTTAATATATTTATGTAATTAAATAATATATATTTAATTCTCATATAATGACTGCTAGTGCCTTTTAGTTCAACAGGTAAAGAAGGAAAACATAAGCTTTGAAAGGTATGAGGTCAAAAGTTTAAGTATTGACTTTGATATAAACATAATTAATAAATAATATAGTAAAAAACAAGTGACATGACATAAGGTAGATAATGACATGTCATGAAGTGACGCACACATAGTGGGTGATGTGGAATCACTATGTTTAAATATAGGCACATTTAGTAAGGGATTAGCAAGAAATTAATCGCTCGTTAAATTACTGAATTTTGAATAGGATTAGTGAGGGATTAATTAAGAATCCCTCGCTAATTTTAGCAAAGACTAAATCTCTTGCTAAATATGATCTCTCGTTAAATTTAATAAACCTTTTTTTAGTTATAAATTTAGCAAGGGACAAAATTCCTCGCTAAAGCGCAATTAATTAGAGAAAATGACATATTTCTAGAAGTGAGTCTAAATTATAAATAAATAAAATTTTTTCTTTTGTTTTTCTTGTCTTTTTTATTGAGAATAATAAAGATAATTTTTAAAGTCATATAAATTTGTATAATTAATTTAAGGCAGTCCTTCATTTTTAATATTATCTTTTATAATTTTGGTGATAACTTTTAAATATTTTTATTTTTTTTTCAAAAAATTTCTGATTGAGCACGGCAGGTGGGATTGGGATTGGTTAAATTGGAATATGAAAGACAGATGTGGGTAAATCTTTCGTGCAAAATAAACATTGGGATAACCTCTATGCACATGGGTGGGGACATCTTGATAGATAGGGGCAGATGTGTTTTTCAAAAGCAAGAAGGTTCGGTGGGGGAAGAACCTAACTGCACTTTTTCAAAGTAGTTGCTTATTTGAATTTAAAATCACAACAACCACACATGTGTACTCATCCAATTCGACTAGAAACAGTAGATGGTTCAACTCTTTGAAATGAAAATAGTGCTTGTGGAGGTATGCTGAAAGGAGCTACTGGAGATTGGATTTTGAATTTTAGTTGTCCAATGGGTAAACTTCCCCCTACTATTTTTTTAAATTTATGATATCTTCAATTCAAAGGTCTTGAGATTTGTTAGTAGAAATGTTTTGAGGATTGTGGAAGTCTTTTATAGTTGTGCGAATGTCATTTTTATGATCACAACTATAATTATTATTTTTTCTAACACGTTATTAGTTCAACCAACAAAATTTTGAGTATAGAATGGGATGTCCAATTTCATTTTATGTACAGAAAAGAAAATAGGATGACTAATTATCTTGCTAAGCTACCTTTTAGTCTTATTATTGATTTTAACTTGTATGACCAAACTTCTTGTATTTGATTGGTTGGTTTTCGGTTTTCTGCCTTTTAGTTTATCTGTAGTTTCATATTCTTTTGTGCACATTCTATTATGAATCAAGCATCAGGTTTCACTAAAAAAAATTCAGAATATCAGACGAGTTTCACGAAATAATAATTATCATATCTCATGGTATGTAGTTGTTATTTGAGGTATATTTTTGTTATTCTGATCTCCCTTTTTTTTAAATTCTTACATTTCTAAATTCTGATTTTATTCGTTTATGTTAGTGCTGCCGTACCCGGGAGTTATCAGTCTAGAACTAGAACTTCATCATGACGCAAATTACTCTTGTATGTTCTTGCTCAATTTTTCTAGTGGACGCAACCACAGTTTAATTCAGATTTGGATTTTCAATTTAAACTATGCATATGTTCATATGTTGCACACAAAAAAGTTTAAAATACTTATTCCGTCCCAATTTATAAAACTAATTAAGACAAAATCACATATATCAGTATTAAATAATATACTTTATAACCATACTTTTTTAAAAACAAAAAAAATATCAAACTTTTAAAAATTCATTCAATTAATAATTTTTTTAGTGAAAAAATATTGAAAAGAGTGAATACATGAGAAGAGTAAGTAATATTAAAAAAATATTATTAATAAGATCTTATTTTTGTCATAATATTTTATATTTTGAATGCTGAATTTTTTTAAAAAATATTTTATAAAATGCGGTTGAGTAAGTAGTAAATACCGTTAAAGTAAGATAGTGAAAAGATGGGAAATGAATGAAAGGACAATATATAAATCTCATAGCATTAATACTTTTTCTTATTTGAAGTAATAATAATAATAATAATAACAATAATAATAATAATAACTCCCTCTATATTTATTTTATTGTTAAAAAAACAAGAATGATAACTCAGAACCTGTACCTTGTCTAGTCCAGCACACACAAATAACAACACTAAATAAGAACTAACTTTAAATTGGTAAACCGATTAAAAACTAGTGAACCGAACTAACCGACAATAAAAAGATTTAAAAAAAATGTTAACTCTTAAAAGAAAAAAAATTAATTCTAAAAACTCTACCACTGGTCCACTATTCACACAATTGTCACCCCAAAAGCATTGTTGCAATGTCTCCAGTCTTTCCTACAAGTCTACTCGTTGTTTTTAATTTTCTTCCCATCTCAATTCATGTTTTGTGTTAGCTCCTTATACTTAATTTTTTATGTATGAACATCTCTTTTATCTCTGTTTTTCCAGCTATGTATCCATATTTTTGTTTCATGTGATATCATTTTAATTTAGTTATAATTTGCCTCTCAAAAGTGCCAAATGACTAATCTTAAAAATAAGCATGCATTCCTTTTATTTCTTTTTTAGTTGATTTTTTTGAACTTCTTTACATGCAAGCTTCTTATTCATCTATATATTTATTCAAACACTTATTTACATATCTTTTCAAACAAATTTAGATCTTGTTTCCTTTAAAAGCATATGTGATCACCATCTCTAAAAAAAATTAACAATGATTTTGAAATTCCAATAAAAAATAAAATTAATTTATAATTTTCTATAACATTTAAATATATTAATTTAATTATAAATGGCTCAACCATGACCTAACCCTTGTCTACCGATTAAATTGTGAACTAGTGTTTCAATTAATTTTATAATTGATCTTGTTCTCACAACATTGATTTATTTATAAATCTTATTTAACTAATTCATGCAAGTCAAGAAAGTTAAAGTATTTAATTGCCTTGAAATTACTCCATTTTTTCATAAATATCCTTGACTAAATGCAAATTCTTTTGCCAACTTTCTCAATTCCTCTTTTCACAAAAATTACCTTACTAATATCTACACCAAGGGTTCTACTGGAAAAAAAATATTAATTTTTTATAAATTTTACAAAATAAATTATAAATAAGATAAAAATCTTCTAAAAAGTGGATTATAAATGGTACCGTAAATAGTTCTTTTTTTTATTTGTTAAAGGGAAAAAATGTCCAACTATTTTTTCTCCAGGAGTATCCTGTATATGTAAGTAGTGAATAAAGATGTAAGAATATCCATAAATTTGTTATAATAATTGCAACAAACTCTATTTTGTTAAATTTGGCAAACAAAAGTTAACATTAACCATTTAAAAAGAAAAAAAAACAAGCACAAGGTCTAAAAATACTCAAAAAAATTTTCCATAAAAGTTTTATATATCCTTAAGTCAACAATAATGCATGAGTTTTCATTAATTTTATTAAAAAAGCCACATCACCAAGCTTAACCTTAACAACTTGAGCTTTTAGATTTATTCAGGTTGGCTCGAATAGTTGAATTGCTAAATATTATTTTATTTTTTTTATTTTTTAGTCAATTTCAATTTTTACCTTACAAATTAATTTTTTTAAATTTTTACCTATTTTTTATTTTATTTTATTAATAATAAAAAAGAGAAACCCATGAGAATCCTCTTTCCCACCATATCCTCCTCCCGTTTGGAGTCAATGCCTGTTTCTAGTACAAGTATGGAGTGTTTGTTCCATTTAAGTTATTAAAATTTAAATTAACAGGTAAAAAAAAAAAACTCAATCATTATTTGATATCTAGATATAAATTTAGAACAGTTAATCTAAATTTTAACAGCTTAGATAAAACATGCAATCAGTAGTAGAGATATGCACCGAATCCAAACCCCCTCCCATTCGTCCCTTCTTCCTTTCAACCAAACCCACCTTTTCATTTCATTAACTCTCTATTTGACAAAAGCATTCGGCGCAAGAACAGTTTCATTGCGTCTTCTATTCTCTATCTCCGCAAGTCGCGCGTGTGTATCTCTCTCTACATGCATACATATATATATATATATATATATTCTGCATCTCAAGGTCCTCCTCAGCCCCACGCAACTACCGACCAAGTCCCCACGACCACCAATCCACTACGCGCAGCCCGCTCCTCCTCCTCCGTGGCCGCGTCCGAGTGTATTGCTCTACCACCACCACCCCCAAGTTGAACTCTTAAGCTACACAATTAGCCATGGAACAACCTCATCAGCCTATGTCCCCTAAACCAGTGGTTATTAGTAGTACAACTAGCCATCCCTTAACTAATGATCCGAGTTTACAATCAACGTGGTCACATCGAGCCTGGGTTGCAGCCGGTTGCACTACTGTGATTGTTTCATTGGCTAAATGCATTAGTCAAGCAACCATCATGCAAGTTTCGTTCGAACCGGTCTTCGCCGCTTGGCTTGGCTATATGTTGGCCGATCTAGGCTCTGGCGTTTACCATTGGGCTATTGATAATTATGGAGATGAGTCCACACCTGTGTTTGGTCCTCAAATTGAGGCTTTTCAAGGTCACCATAAGTGTCCACGGGCCATAACAAGACGTCAATTTGCTAACAACTTGCATATATTGGCTCGTGGAGTTACACTCACAGTGTTACCTATTGTACTTGTTTTCAATGACTCAAAACTTCTTGGGTTTGTTGGAGTGTGTTCTGGTTGCATTATGTTTAGCCAGCAGTTTCATGCCTGGGCCCACAGGACGAAGAGCCGGCTTCCGCCACTCGTGGTGGCATTACAGGATGTCGGAGTACTGGTGTCACGGTCGCAGCATGCCGCCCACCACCGGCCGCCGTATAACAGTAATTATTGCATTTTGAGTGGAGTTTGGAATGAGTTTCTGGATAGGCATAAGGTATTTGTAATGTTGGAGAAAATAGTGTATTCCAAACTTGGGGTTAGACCACGGTCTTGAAGTGAACCCAATTCTGAGTGGATGCAGGAGATAGAGGCTTCTTCTTAAATTTCAGCCAAGTAAAAATTTAACTACTGTTGTTTTAGTTGGCGTAATAAATAATGAAAGTTTTAGTTTTTTCTTTTTTTGAGTTTTTTTAATTATCATATATTTTAAGTTTATCTTTTTTTTTTTAATCATTTTGGTCATCTGAGTTTATCTCAATCATCAATGTGATTCTTATTATTTAAAAAAAGTGGTAGTGCTATTAAAATCTGCTAACATGTATTATGAAACTTCATGTTAGCGACGTAGATTAATGAATACAAGTTTAATTATTTAGATAAGTAAAAAAAAGAATAAAATTTAGAAACAAAAGAACAAAACACACAATAAGATATTAGATTGCCTAAAATTAAATTAATTTGAGGATTAATTTATTTTCATTCATCTAAATATACATGTTAAGTCATCAATATACTTTACATATTATATTAATTTGAGAGTCAATTTGTATTTTAAAATTTAAAGGATTAAAATGATAATTTAATAAAATAAAATGAATTAAATTGATAAAAAATTAAATTCAAGGAACTGAATTAATAATTGAAGTAAACTTGAGGGACTAAAAGTTCTATTATCCCTAAGTTATATAATTCATAAATGGTTAATTATACAATTTTATAAATTTTATACGTTTTTATTGGTTTATGTTAATATCAGTGGATTGGATAAACGTGCTACCGGAATGCATTCTTGGCCTAAAATCGAAAATCAAACGTCCAATATTGTTTAGTGTCATCTATTGTAGAAAATTACTGTACCTTCCATTGGGCTAACAACTCCTGAATTTTTTTTTATTTTCTTTTCAATTCATACATCTCTAAATTCTAATTTTATTCGTATATGACTACATGTTCACGATGTAAATTATTCTAATCTGTTCTTGTTCCATTTTGTTAGTGTTCACAAACAGAGTCCAATTCAGATTTAGATTTTCAATTAAAGATGTGTATATGTTGCCCGAAAAAGTGTGAAATAGTAAGCATCTTTGAGGCAAGAGATAATGAAAAGAGGGGAAATGAATAAAAGGACAATATATAAATCTGATAGCATTAATACTTTTTCGTATTTGAGGCAAAGGGACTCACTCTCTCTAAATTTATAAATGATATTTAACTAATTCCAGCAAATCAACGAAATTAATTAAAATTATTTAACTGCCATAAAATTATTTTTTTAGTGAGAAAATTAATCTTTTAATCCCTAAAATATGACACATTTTAAATTCAATTCTTCAAATATGACTCAGTATAATTAGATCCCAAACTATAAACTCATTTAGAATTCAATTCCTTTTTTTTATTTTTACTTTTTATAAGTAGATCTCTTTCCTTCATAACTCATTGTGGAGTCATCCTACATGTCAATTAACGTCACTAGCGCCATTAAATCAAGATGATTTGGCTTCCATGTAAGATTTTGGTTGAAAGAAAAAGTAAGGAAAAACAAAAGGGTTTAAGCATTTAAGCAGAGAGAGTTTGACATAGCCCCCCCCCCCCCAAAAAAAAAAAGATAACACTTGCAGAGTGGACAAAGTTCAACAGTGAGTAGGAAGATCACAAAGAAAGTAATGACTATGTGACAAGAAGGTGAAGAAGTGAAGACATAACAATTTGCAATCACTTTGTGAGAAGAGAAGGTGGCAACAACGAGACATACAAATTTGGGTTTGTAGGGGTAAGTGACCAAGGTCACAAAGCTCATTTGCTATGTTTTTATTTTTTTAACTGAATTCTAAATGTTGTTTTGAATGAAATTGAGTCATTCTCTTAATGAATTAGAATAAAATTCATGTGTAGCAATCATGGGCATGTCTGCACTTGAATTGGTAAAACTCTTTGCGTAGATATACTTTCACCTCTTAGACTTAAATGGGTCAAAGTGATTTGAACTTTTTTGGTAGTATTGGAACTTTTTGAATTTTCATTTTAGAATATCATTAAATGCCATGGTAATTAAACCAAAAAAAAAATGACAAAGTGATAGAGACAACAATAATGCCTAGAATGTAATGCAAATAATAGAGCTTAGTCGCCAACCACACATGGAAGTCGTCACCCTTGGATTATCTCTTCTTCCCATGCTAGTGTATAAAGACTCATGCTTTGTTGAAATTAATTTATAATTGCTTAAGCAATGTATTATATTATCAACAGACAAAAATAGGCAAAGTATATGAACACTCTGTTTTCCTCTACTCTTTTTTACTAATAACATAGGTGTATATATGATGATTGGGATATTAATTTCATTGCTATTTGTGATTTTCATTAAATAATTTATAAAAATGAAAAAGTTTGATTCAACAGTCACTGGTGCAACTAGCAAGTTTTGTGGTAGTCGCTTCCTGATTGCATTTTTGGATAATGTTCTTCCTCTGGACCAATGATTCTACAACCAAGTTTGGCATTCCTTCAAATGTTTCAAAGTTTACAAGCCTCACGGGGACGACCATGTTTCCTCAAATTCCAAGTCATTTGTCATTCGTAATCTTCCCACTAAAATGACGATAATGAGGTCACAGAACCACTCACTCGAATTTATTTGCTTGTTTATAGTTATTTCTTTTCCTTTCTTTTTGTTTTCTTATTTTTGCAATGCTTAGCCATAGCCTGATGTGTTCAAAATATTTAGTTTTTGATACACAGTCACTGCCACATGGGATGAGTTTGGGAGGAAAAGGCAACTCAAAAATGGTGCAAACGTTGGGACTGAATTTTAAGCAAGTTAATAATTTAGGCACTAAGTTACAACAAGTCATAATTGGATAATTGAGTTATAAGTGAGTTAATATTTCAAGTACCAAAAAATCAATTTTCCCTATTTTTTTCATAAATATCCTTGATTAAATGTAAATTCTTTATCAACTTTCTCAATCCCTATTTTCATGACAAACACCTTTACTAATATCCACACTGAGACAAACACCTTTACTAATATCCACACTGAGGGCATTATTAGAAAAAAATAGTAATTATTTTATAAAGTTAACAAAATGAATTATAAACAAGAACATAAAAATCTTCTTAAAAGTAACTTATAAGTAACGATGAAGGTAATGTCATTTTTTTTATTCATTCTTATTTCAAAAACAATTTAAAAAGGGAGAATTTCAGTCAAGGACAGCTGTAGAGAATTAATTTTAGATGAGTCTAAAAAAATTTTGACATTTCACTTTAATTCAAGGAAAAAAAAGCCAAAGAAATTTGGGAAAATAGTGATAAAAGACCACCAGAGGAAATTTATATCAGTTAAGGACTAGTTGTTATCAAAATCTGAATGAAAAAAAGCCCGACTAAGCTATTGTTAATTTAGAATGGGTTTTTGTTAAAACCTAAATGGATATTTGTTAATAAAAGATTAACCCAAATTGATAAGTATCCATTTAAGTTTTGATAATAAGTAATTCTTGGCTGATATAAATTTTCTCCCATAGTCCTTAAAGAATTTCAAGGGTGAAAAGACCAAGATACCTTTCATTTATTATGCATAATCATTAATTGTTAATTTTCTTATTGCACTTGTTAATTTACTAATATTACTTGTAAATTACATCCATTTATTAGATAATCAATAACATGAGTTGTTAATTTGTTAGTTTTACTTATTAATTTACTAACACTAGTTGTAAATTACATGACCTGTCAGTAATTTACAACTGATGTTAGTAAATTAACAAGTAAAGTTAGCAATTTAACAACTGATGCTGCAACTCATAATTGAAAAACTGATATCATGTCTTATCTAATTACTGACATGTTGACTCATGTAATTTGCAGCTCATATTTATAAATTAACAAGTGAAATAAAAAATTAACAACTAATGATTTTACATAACAAGTAAATGGTATTTTGGCCTTTTTATCATTGAAATTCTTTTAATTTTTCTCCTCTAGATAGAACTAAAATTTCAAAAAGAATTTAGACCCACCTGAAATTGATTCTCTACAATGGCCCTTAACTGAAATTTTTCCATTTAAAAATATTTAGAATCCTACTCAACCTCATCCTAATTATAGGATAAAGTTAATTAATTTAATAATTTTTAAAAAGGGATGGTTAATACCTTAAACTTGTAGAAAATGTGTAAAATTTCAATTTGTAATTAATTACCATAACAAAGTGCTGTATGAAAAGAAATTCCATTGAAAAAAAGTATTGTATGAAAATTAAAAGCACGTTGTAATATCCTGAATTTCAATCCAGGAGAATTAGTTTCTAATCAAGGATAAATTAATAATTAATAAATTGATTATGGTTTGGATGTTAGACTAATATGTGGTGTTGGTTGGTTGGTGTGACTATAAGATCGAATAGTAAAACGACAATTTAGGATGTGACGCGCAGGCAACAGTAAAAGTTTTCTCACTGTGCCACATGCCGTAGCAAAAGCTGTATACGCTATGATGCATGGCATAAAATTTTTACTTAAGAGCTAAATCAGATCATGAAAACAAAAGGAGAAGGAGGGAAAAATGTGCGTGAGAGGAGAGAAGAGTTTTACTCTACTAGGGCATCAAATATCCAAAGTTCAAGAGTTTGCTTTGACTAGTGACTTATTGGATAAGTAATGTACAGCCCTAAGCTTCATTTCTACCCCATTTTTATTGAATTTGATTGGTTGAGAAATTGAATTATGAAGTTTTAAAGTGTTAGAATCTAAAAGAAAGGTTTAAAAAAGTCTTTCAAATATGAAACTAAAGTTTTGTGACTAGTCTGGAGTTAAATAGTTAAACTTTGAGGATTTATGCTCAATTATCTTAAAAAGTTAGGTTAAAATGGTGAAAATTAGGTGAGTAAATGAGTTAGGAGATTGTTATGATTATTTGAATAGCCTATAGGACTAATGACTATAAATAGTGGACTTACGAATTTAAAAGGTGTTAATTGAATCGTTTTGCGTATTAAGAGATTTAGTTTAGCAAAATTAATGCCTATGTTGAGTATTGAGAATTGGTTAAGGGATGCTATGTTGTATAGATTAAGCAGTTGAGACATTGCTCGTGAGAATCTACACTCTTAAAAGTTCACTCGATTGATAACCCTTAGTAGTAAGGGTAAAAGGTAATTGAAGTAACCCTTTTATTTGTTCATTTGTGAAATTATTTACAAGTATATTATATAACTATATGCATTGTGATTAATGAACTGACAGAGTAACAATATTGTGAAAATATATTTATGCAGGTGTGTGAGTAATTTTTGAGATGTATGACACAAGACATATGTATTGACATGCACATTGTATCCACAAGAGTACTCTAGACTAAGGTAGAGGGTCACAACCGTACTCTGTACAAATCTAAAAAGTCTTGAAAGTTTTGAGCTTAGAGCTTGACTCCATTAGGAAGGACCTAAGAGATCCTGAAGGTCTCGAGCATAGAGCTTGACTCTGCCATGATAAACCTAAGAGACCACCTATATGCGAAGAGGATACCTGATTTGAACAGTGGTTTGGTGGGCCTTGTTTCTTGAAAGACTAGAAGTCCTAGTTTGAGTGTAGAGATTACTCTGCTAGGTGGAACCAGGAATGCATGAGTATGAGCATGATGCACAGATTTGGATGAATTCTTGTACATCCATATTGTATTGTTCTCCTTGAACATATACTATTTTATCTCTCGTTTATGATTTTGCTTACTAACTGGTGTTTGGGTGATATCTGAGCTACTGGGATACATGTCTCACTCTGTTACTTTTGTACACAGGTGAAGGAGCACGAGAATGCCAGAAAGGGAAGCGAAGAAAAAGTAGCTTTGATTGGTAATGGTATGACTACCATTTGAGTAAATGAATGTATAATAAATTGTTATAGTTTAGTTAACTAGGGTGCATAAGCGTGTGTAAAATGATTATGTGCATATATGTACAAATTGTGTTGTGAAAATTGCTTGGATATGTGATATTTCATCTTGTCGAGGGTACCACAATTGTGGGTATGTAGGCAGGCCTAAATGCTATTCAAACTAGTTTATATTGTGTTGTATAACTTGTTCAACTTATATATATGTGAATTGATGTGATGATTTGTGTATATATGAGAATTTGACACAAATGGTGAGGTAAAGCTCCATTTGAAAGAGTCAAGTATGTTGTGATTATTAACCATGTGGTGAGACAGAGCCTTATATGTAAGAATTGGATGGTTAAAAGTGGAACAGGTCTATGTGTATATGTGTTATATAGATTGTGCCTCATATAAGTCCACAAGTGTGTAATGTGGTATTGAGAGGTCAATATGAGTAATTGATGTGATACATGTGATTAAAAGTGTCAATCAAGTGTATATAATGCTTTTAAACTTAGTTCAAGGCTCAAAAGAGTCTAATGAGATAAGGAATAAGAATTGAGTATTTAGGGTGTAATATTTAAAACAAAGTAGCTTTTTACATTTGACTGTTCAATTTTAGATCGGACCATCAAATTGAGTTTGAACTTATCTCCTTAGATAGATTACATTGTAAACTTCGTGTGGGTGCTTGAATCATTCTAATCAAACGCCAGATGTGGAAATGGCACATGATGAAAATTTGCCTACTATATGACAACAAATTTTGCTATCGTATGGCTCATGGCATATAGAAGAATAGAGCTCGTGGCTCTATACCACATGCTATAGCATAGCACTTTTATGGGAAAGATGTGCCTCATTGAGTCATAGAATTATATTTACGCTTTCATTAACCCTCATATTATGATATTATGTTATTATTGTTTGACGAGTGTGTATTCGAGAATGGTAAAGTTTGGAATAGAGTAGGAACTTTATAGATGTCAACCTTATATTTACCATGTTGCAAAAAATCCTGATCCAACCAACAAGTTGGACTGTTCACCCAGCCAAGTGAGATTGATAAGCTGAATCAAGGAAACCATGAACTAGTCAACATAGCTTTAACTCGATAAGGTTAATGGGTTAACCTAAGTTACTTTTATTATTATTATTTTTTCTTTTTTTCCTCTCTTTCCTCTTCTAAATATTGAACTCTAAATCAAATATAAATCCCTTAATTAATACTTTTAATGATGTATTTTATTATTTTTGAAAACTTTAATTAATATTTCTATAAGACATGTATAAGATTGGAAAAAAAAAAGGATAAAAATGCCTTAAAATTCTTTTTCTAAAAACATTTGGTATTTTAAACTTTTTTGTTAAAGTAATGTTGCTTTAGAATTTTTTAAAATAGTGCAACGTTGTCTTTCCATTAACTTTGAAAAACATTGACCATTAAAAATTTCATTTGACCAGAATATTTACACATGGCAACTGCTGAATGGTTCTTCTTCCTCATTCTTCTTCATTTGACGCGCAGAGCAGCGTAAAAGCTATCGACCATAGCAGAATGTAAAACTTGATTCAGACCCTTTAAGCTTGATTTCTTGCGTTTGGCGTCTCTGAGCTTGTATGCAGATTGACCTTGGCTTTGAAGCTGATCTGTTCAGCTTTATTATGGGTTTAGTCATATTTTTGGTCATGATGAAGAATCTATCGTTCGCCTTTATTACAATGCCCATCTTTTACGTGCTCGTGCTTCTTCGTTCTTATATCGATTCTCAGCTTCAATCCCAACTATATTCTGAGAGTACTGTTAGTATCAATGATCATGTAGTCCTTGGATAATGAAGCTGAAGTGGGAGCTGATAATAACAGTGAGAATGCCTATTACATCATTGAGAAGAGAGTTCAATTTCCATCGCCAACATTGAAGATAAACTGAAGAACAATGTGGCTGCTGGGTTTGCGATCGAGTGCTGTCACGTCTTCACCGGTTGGCGAAGACAGTTATTGAACGATAAACTATCGAGAATTCGGATACAGAAGCTGAACCTCGACCAGATCGACAAGGTGCCGTTGAATTTCCTAGATGACAAGATCAAACGTTGGCATACGATTTCCTTCTACGTTCTAAGGACACTACTCCCAGACGATCAGAATCTCTGCAAGAGATTATTCCCATGGTAGGCTTCATCCCTTGACCCACTATAACTTGAGAGGATATGTGAGGATCAATCGAAATGGGTGATGTTTGATGAGCACATGGGAGCTGCTGCTTCTTCGATTTGAGGTTGTGGCAAGACCTTCCGATGACGCTACGGCAAAACCCCTGCCCGCGCCAAAAGTGATTTTCTTCTCATGTACAACTCAATTCGCAAGAAGGTCCATGTTCTTCTTCATGACGAGAAGCTCGTCTGCGAGTCTTCGCCATGTCGAACGCCCCCAACAATATGATAGTCAACGGCACTGGCATCAACAACGCCAACGTTGCCACAGTCACTATGACTCCGGCCTTCGCTATGGGCGACATGGTCGTTGACGTGACGACGTCTATGGTAAAGAATGAAGAATGAGGAGAGTTTGTGCGTAAGTGAATAAGAATGAGGAAGAAGAAAAACCATTCAGCAATTGACACATGTCAATCTTCTAATCAAACGAAATTTTTAACAGTTAATGTTTTTCGAAGTTAACAATGGAACAACATTATACCGTTTTGATATGTTTCAGGACGACCTTGCTCACAAAAAAAAGTTTAAAATACTAAACACTCCTAGAAGAAATGCTTACAAGATTTTATGGATGAATTTTTCATATACCTAAGAATTAAGGACTCCTTTGTTTGAATATTCCTGTTTGTTATAGTTAAATATGAATATTTTTGTACATTTAAATTAAATTAAATTAAATTATTTTAATTAATCCCTAGTTGGACTACTAATTTTTAATCATTACCTTAACCGATTCAATTTTTAATATCTTGCTATTTACAATTAAAGAGTAAGATTGGATAAAATATTTAACTATCATGCCTTTGCCCTACATTTAGGACTAAATATGGCTTTAAAATTGTCCCATATTTAGAACCAGACTTCCTAGTTTCCAATGATAACCGCCAAGATCAAACTAATTAATTATACAAGACCTATATACTAATTAATTATAATATTGAATATTGATATTGGGGTATTCCCATCACATCAAGTCTTGTAGTCACGTCACTTCTTGTTGGGTCCAAAAGATTGGGAAAAGGAATCCAAGGCTTCAAAAGATATAAACAAGCCTAGCATTCAAATTGAAGGTTCCTTCTTATGTGATAATGAGAGCTCTTTAAACAACAGAAACATTTTTTTTTTTTTTGAGACCTCAGTTTCTATTTACATAAGTAGCGGAATTGCAGAAAACAAAGGAAACATTTCAGGACAAAGAAAGTGAAAAAACAGAAAGAGTAACAAACTACGTGCACAATGCGATTCCAGGTCCTTAAGAATCTAATTCAACAGATGCTTGTCTGATGAGCCTAATGTTAGGAATCAGCTGCCATTAGAGAAGAAATGCGTGATACACATGGAAACCAGTACCTGCGTTTACCATCTCTATGACCATCATCAATCATTGCAAGTCCTTCCTGCATCATTGGAAAGTGATTCTCTCACCATTCCATGACCTTAAGGGTTGATGTATGTTTTAACAAGTTATTGGGTAGGAATCATGCTAACAAATAAAAATGGTAACGCCAATGCCATTGTTGCTTAGTGGCATGGAAGCTCCTAAGTGAGGCGGAAGGTTGTAAGTTCAATCCAGCTAGTTACTTCAAGCTATTTTATAGCCCTTTGTAATCCAGATAAATAAATATGGTTAGAAGACTTACTTCAAGTAAGGTCTCAAGAGCATCAATAGTGCGACCTGAAGTCCAAGATAGCCGTCTCTCCACTTCCTCAACAGTCACAAACCCTTGAGCCTAAAGCACAGAAGGTGCCAGAAATGTTAGAAAACAAAATCTTGCTCAATTAGCAAACTATGAAGCTTTTGCTACACCTGATAAGTAAACATTCTATGTTTGTTCATGCTTCCCCATTCAGGTCTGAATTCTAGGTTATTTTAATCGAGCTAGTTCAATGACATCCTTGGAAATCATGCTCCTGACCCTGAGCCCCACTAGGAATGTTTCCCCAAAAGATCACTGGCAACACATTAGAATTGAACTTTGCATCATAAAAATATAAATCAGACTCGAACCATTCACGAGTTAGGAATGAGCTTTCATTTATTATTATTATTATTATTATTATTATTTTACATGAAGGTTGATCATGGATAAATTCCTGATAGAGTCTTTAGTTTCTTTTGCGTTATTATTTTTTTTTTTTGGTTTTTTTAGCCAAATGATACAGTTTTTAGTTAAATTCCCCTTTTCTGACTGCTCAGAGAATCCTCAATTAGTTAGGTCTGAACCATTTATTTGACAGCGCTTTTCAACACTTCAAAAAAAAATCACATTTATACCCTTTAAGATATTTAACCATTGGCCCCGTTGGGTTTTATCATGCAAGTTCAAGAAAATCCATGAATACAGCATGTCAGAAGTCCATAACTCTTAGATCTCAACAAATCCCTAAGAGGCACAAAAATCATACAACAGACAAGGGATCATTTGAGGGAAGTCAAAAATAAATTTTTGTAGATAGAAAAAAGTTCAAAGGACAAATAAAAAGAAGAAACAGTTGTAACCTGAGCAAGTTCTAGAATTTCATTGTGGTCCTTGTTTAGCTCAGTTGGAACTGAACGAACAAGTTTTTTCTTCCCGACAGAAATAACTTCAAAACCACTACCCAGCACCTGAAGTTCATGTAACAAATGTCAAACATCCGCCCAGAAGGATCCATGCAATGAAATTTCTTATTAAGTAGTGCAACAACCACATAGGATTAAAATAATGAGGATACATATACACATAGTTAGAGATCCTGTTATGTGATTGCAATATTGAAAAATTAGTTACTGTTAGTTAATTGGAGTTAGTTAAGGGAAATAAACCTTGGGTAGTTATAAGGATTAGGAACTTATAAATACTTTCCGTATTATTCTTCTGTATCAGATCCTAATATGAAATTTAATCAATTCTTGGACTTACAAATCAATCAATTATTAAGACAGTACCAAGCTTTTAGTCTCATGCCACTCTTCTTTTTACTTTACTTTCTTTTTGCATAGATTAAAAGAAGCCATACAGTAATGAGAAAGCACTAAAAGGATAAGACAAGTTTCTATGAAAGAAAAAGAGAAATAAAATAAAATCTTTTAAATCACACTAAATATCTTCCTCCATTTTATTCTTCTTCTTCTTCTTCTTCTTCTTCTTCTTCTTTTGATAGACACCATTATAGAAGTACTGAGTTTTGGAAGCAACATAAAAGGGGCTCTGGTAGCCTGTCAGAACCATAGATTATATATATTCATTCATATATCAAGTTCTCATCCTGAGTGTTTGTAGATGTGAATAAAGAGATTTACTCATGATTGTTGACTTGAGATCAAGCACAAAGAAAGTTAGGAAGATTAGAATGGAAAAGGCTCAAAAACCAGCCTGCATTATGACTGGATACAAGTTCAAAACACAAAAAACCATGTATCCAAAGCCTTAGGTCCCATTTGGTTGCTAGAAAAGATGAGAATGAAATGAATTAAAAAAATCAAAACAAAAATGAATTAGATCACCCTTCGCTCTCATGATAAGTATAATAAAACTCAATACTATAAAAAACAAATGTAAGAATCATTACCCCTTCAACAAACCTCATGAATCACGAATCCCCTCTACATTTTGATTATTTTATTTTTGCCTTTATTTTTTTAATCTATTCCATTCCATTCATTTCAAGCAATCGAACGGCCATTAATCACCATTATTTGAGAATGCCTTCACCCCCATATTTAAAACTTTTGAGTGAAGCAGCTTGTATACACTTTTAGATTCATAACTCCAGTAATTATTATCTAATTTATGGGCAAGCTGAAATATAAGACCTTCAGCTTACTGATAGCACGCAGACAATCATCTTCAGAAACAGCTCCACGGTCACTTTTTTGTTGCTGACGAAGTAAGTGACAGAGTTCTTGCAGGTTGATCAGTCCTCCATTGTGGGCTCTAGCGCCCAAACAAATATCCACTATTTGAACTCCTGTCAAGCCAAGCAGTTTGCCTTAATAAACATGTTATCAAAAGATGGAATCTAAGCTTGACAGATTTCACAACAAAGTGTCAATGATTTATAAAAAAAATGAAGACAGTAAATAGCTTCATAATCATAAGAAATTAGATTATAATGTGATGTGAAAAGATTTATTGATGATATAGACAAAACATAATTGAGATTAGTTAATTTAATGGATTGTGGGTATGTGCATGTGACACTAAAAGCTGATAGTTGGGGATTTATCCAATGGTCTCCTACCACTACATGCTAGCACGTGATTCTTAAAATATTATTTACACCTCACTCTTTCTCTGCAAGCAACTTCTGAAATATGTCAATGCATTTCTGTGTTTGCTCCCCAAGATATCCGAAATGGGCCTGTTATTTTTCTTTAGTGAAATAAATTTGGGTATTAATCCATTCAATTATATTCTGCTTCTGAATTCAGAAAAATTCCAAATATGACTGGCATACTGGTCAGACACTAAAACTTTTAGTATTAGTTGTATAGTTTGTTCTGCAATTTTCTACTTACCCTGTCAGTTGAAAATTATCAATAATAGTGCACAGATTTTTTTTGGGGGGGGGGGTGTCAATAGCACATGAAGATTATTACAGAAAAGAATGCATATATATATGCATAGGAGATACGTTTGGTGGAAAGAAACCAAGATAAACAAATTTTTTACCAAGTTCATAATAGAAGTCACCAATTCCTAGCAGCTCTGCCCAGAAACCTTTATTTGAAGCTAAGGGATCTACTCCAACTTTAGCACACATCTCATGAAATTGCGATCTGAATGCAGGGTTCTTGCGGATGTCATTCTGAACAAGTAATAAAAATATTAGTGTGTCTTAATTTAGTAATCCATTATAGAGGTTTTACAGAGAGAGCAAGACTGCATTACAAGACCATGGCACAAGGCATGAACATGACAAATTGGTAGTCAATCATTTCCCTGAAGCTCCAAGATGTTTAAACCAGTCAAGCTTTCAGGAAAGCAGAATACTTTAAAGCTGAAGATCCAGAAAGGATTTGATTTCCAAAACTAATTACACGAGGCTGTGACATTTAGGTTTGCAAGACATTTGCAGATATGCCACTTAGTGATGGAATTGTAGGCAATTTAAGAACAAGGTTGTTAAAGGCAAAAGGCGCACTTAAGGCGCAGAGCCTGTAAAACGCCTTAGGCGCATGACGCTAGAAAGGCGTGCGCTCGAATGAAGCGAGGTGCTACCATGTGTTATAGCCTCTAGGTGTTGCTGCTCTATTCTAAACGTCTAATGGATTATAATAGGTTCTCTTTTATAACCTAATCAATATAAGTTGGGATTAAATTTTCTTGAAATTTTTCCAAGGCTCATAATAATTTCACTATCATGTTTAAAATTTCAATCAAAAAGTATTTCTTGCAATAAGTTTAAATCTTTTCTATTATGTAATTGTCTTCTCTTATTTTGAAATTAAATATTTCATATTTGTTTTTATATCATTTAACTTTTCATATTTTATATCATATTTTAATGGGTTATGTATTAAAATATGAGCAAACCCATTGTCTTCTACAATATGTTACTCCATAGAAGTCAAGTGAAGCCGTCGGTGCTGTCCTTATCTTCTCTTCTCTTCTTCCATACGCTGTCAGCATCATCCTCATCAATTCCAATCGGTCGTTATCTTCTCTTCAATAACCAAACCCAGTCAGTCGTCTTCTTCACTTCTTCAATACCTAGTCCCAGTCGGTCGTCTTCATCTCTTCTTCAATGCCCAGTGGTCAATCATCATCTGCTCATCTTTTGTTCCCCTATTCTTCAACCTACTTCAATTAGGCACCCTCAGGCGAGCGCCTTTTGCTCGTGCAAGGCGCACAAGGCACTCTCAGGCATGCACCTAACTAACCCCATCGCCTCTCTTCACATGAGAGGCGATGACTCTGTTTAGCGCCTCGCTTTTGCGCCTTAGGCGCTGAGGCGAGCGCCTTTAACAACACTGTTTAAGAACTGAAAATTATATGCTCCAATAGTTAGTGCAGAACACTTTTTTTTCAAAAAAGCGAATACATAACAAGCAACTGATCCATAGGGGTAAAAAAGAAAAAACAAACAAAAGGAAGGAAAAGAAATGCAAAGAATAGTAACTGAATCTGAATCCAGACATGATGCATGCATATAATCAATTTTCCATTAAATTATCAAAACACGTCTATCCATTCCTGCAAAACGGAACTAAACCTTATGATAAGGTCAAAAGCCTTTTAGAGGTTCCATCAACATCATATGTCAATACATAATATTACATTCTAATAGAGCCCGTAATTTTAATAAGATCTATAAGAGGAGGTTAGAGAGGAAGAATGACTTGAATGGAAAAGCTTTGACTGGTCAAGATGATTATCCTTCGGTCCCTAGCCATAAGGAGCAATGAATTATGATGCTGTGTCATCTTTAGTATCTATTTTGGATAGTAGGGGCTAGATGTACGCCACACTGTGAGTATTAGTAGTCCTTTGCACTGTTTTGGGAAGGTATGTCTTTTGTAATGGAATTGTGAGGAGAGATTGGCCTCTCAAATGCCAAAGGGAGTGGAACTCTTACTTTGATTTCTGCAATCTGTGTTGCTGGTTCCATTTTGTTTATTCAGGAGAAAGGAGATAGGGTTTTAACCAGAATCAAAGTGTCCTTGTAACTCTAAGTCGGTTCTTTCAGTTCATTAATATCAAAACTCAGCATTTTCCCCTCATTTAATTCTGCTACTGTATTTCTTTGTTCTTTACTGTTTCTGGTTTGGATCCCATAATTTGGCATCCAAATAATATGATCCTCAAGTGGTTTGTGTAAGGAGTTATGGCAGAGAGGGTACAATACACTAATTGAGAAGTACAAGAATTGAAAGAGGATTGACCAGGTATGTAAGTGGCATCAAAGAAACATTGAAGACTACTAATGAAGTCCTGGTGCTAATACAGAGGAAGGTGGCAGGGCAAAATGGGGATGAACAAGAAGGAACTCATCATGAGGAGACCTCTGGGAGTGACCCAAGGGATAAAACAGAAGGAGGCAAGTATCAGAAGTTAGAACTACCTATCTTCTCAGGCAAGGATCCTCTTGGGTGGCTTTTTAGAGTAGAGCAGTATTTTCAAGTAAATTACATAACAAAACAGGAGAAGCTTGAAGCAACCATGGTATGCCTTGAAGGTAAAGCATTGAATTGGGTACCAATGGCCTGATACAAGGACACCATTGAGTGATTGGTTGGAGTTCAAAAGAGCGTTGCTTCAATGATTTCACTCCTCCCAACCAGGTGGTGAGTATGAGAGATTATTCACAGCGAAGCAAGAAAAATCCATGCTCAAGTTTGTAGAAGGGTTCGAGCTATCATCTGCACCATTGAAGGAAGCTTTGGAAGAATGTTTGATTGGTGCTTTTCATTCTGGACTGAAGGCTGAAATTAGGGCTGAGTTAAAGCTACCTACGACTACGACCTTTTGATATCAGGGGACATAGGGTTTGGCCAAAATCAAAGAGTGTCCTTGTAACTCTAATTCAGTTCCCTCACTTAATTAATATCAAAACCTCAGCATTTTCCCCTCATATTTAATTCTGCTACTGTATTTCTTTGTTCTTTACTGTGTTTCTGGTTTGGGTGCCATTACATTCATCCAAATTTCGTGTCTTCCTCTCCTATTTTTGTAAAATTCAAATGCCAATTTCTAAAAGTAACTGTTTTTGCACTTTGCACTCATTTCTTTTGCAATTAACAGGAAAATGATTCCCATCAAATTAATAAACATTGAAAGAATCCCATAATCAGAAGCGATCTCATAGAGCATCAACCGTAATTTCATCTGTCATTGAATCAAGCAAATAAATCGGAAACAGACAAAACACCGATATTGAACTAAAAACAGCTGTTTGGTGTATGGAATGTAAGTTTACACAGACCCCAGAAAAAAAAAAAAAAACTTAATTCTTGAAGTCAAATGAAATTACAGGAAAGGGAGAAAAAGACAAACTTTGTGCTTGCGAGCGAACTCCTCAAGCTGCGATCGGAACGTCGCAAGTTGCCCTTTCATCATATCGGTTTTAATCTTGGCCACATTTTCACCCACCAGACGAAATTGATTCCTCGCAGCAGCAGCATTTTGCAAGCCTCCAATTCCAGGCTTTCTTCTCATCCTCTCTTCCTTCTCTTCTTTTCTCGGGGATACTTTGATCCAAATTTAAGGGTTTCGAATTCGATCGCTAGATTATCAATTGTAAGACCTGATGATTTTCTGTGCGTCGAATAACAATAATATCATAGCAAGGGAAAAGTGGGATGACTGAAATTTATAAGAAACATGAATTTATAAACCCCCTCTCCTATCAAGTGAAATGATAGTTGATATGCTTTTGATTTTTTAATTGTGCCACTACATCGTAATAAATTGTATAATCAAGAAGAGATGATAGAGTTGATAATTCATGTTGGATTTATTTAAATTAAATTTAAAATATTTTATTCTTTTAAAAATTTAGATAATCAAGCTTTTAATTTTTTTTTAGTTAGATTTAGATTGGCTCGTCGGGCGTGATCAAGGTTACTAATTTTATGTACATATAAAGTTAGAAATTTCAACAGTCGAGTTTTTTCAAATCGAATTCAATTTAGGTTAAATTTATTCAAATCAAGCTTAAAATATCATACTCTTTTACAAAAGTATATATAGACAAGCCTGATCTTAACTTTTTTTTGACGGATCCAGGTTGACCCGTTTGGCCTAGCTCAAGTTACCAGCTTTAGATGATATTGAAATAAATAATTTTTTGGCTAGAAGAATTAAACATTGACTACTTTACATCTTGGGAAATCAAATAAAATTTTAAACCCAAGTAACCAAGCAACACCACCATCTTTGGACACCTTTGGACCATGCTTTGGTATCTCGGTGTAGGAATTGTGCTCAATTGATCACTTTTAAAAAATAAAAAATAAAAAATTTTACCTCATACTCTTCTAATCATATTTATAAATTATTTTCAATATGTTTTACTAGATCAAGAAAAATATTTTTCATTAACTCTGTTTTAAAATTTAATAAGTCTTCAACTTTGTTCCTATAAATAATATATATTTTAACAATATATTTTCTTTCTCTAATATTCAAAAGAAAATAAAAAGAAAAATTTATGTTAAAAAATTAATAAGATAACTTATAAATAAGATAAAAAAATATATGTTTTGTTTTATAAATAGGACTAGAGGGAATAATTGAAATCAAGACAAGAAAAAAAATAATATGACAGTTGAAAGGCTAGTTTTACTTTAATCTAAAAACAATATGAGCAAGGATAAATTTTAATACATTCTTTATTTACAATTGAGAGAATATTAATAAAAATCCCTTAAAAATTTAATATCAACAAGGATCTCTAACAAGTATTAGTAAGTATTAACAAATTAATAAGTAATGTTACTGTTTTAACAAACATATGATACATTTAGAATCTTTGTTAAATGTTATATTTTTTAATAAGTAATGTTATTGTTTTAACAAATATTTCCCATATTCAGAATCTTTGTGAAATGTTAAATTTTTGCTTGTTAATATTGTTCATGTACAATTCATGTGTTAACATTCAACTTTTTCATCTTACATATATTCAACTCCTTTCATGCTTTTCTTTTTGGAATTTTTTAATAAGATGATAACATCTTTTGAGAAAAAAAAGATAATAACTGTAACATCCTAAAATTCAATCCAAAAAAACTAGTTGTGAATTAAGGGTAAATTAGTAATTAGTGAATTAATTACGGTTTTGGGTATTAGACTAATATGTGATGTTAATTGGTTGATTTGATTATATGATCGGATGGTAGGACGGCTGTCTAGGACATAACACATGAGCAATAGTGACAATTTTCTCACTGTGCCATGCGTCATGGTGGAAGTTGCATGTGTCGCAGCGCATTGCACAAAAATTGCTTAAAGGTGACATGATCAGCTCGTGAAAATAGAAAAGAAGAGTTGGAAAAACATATCTAAAGAGTAGAGAAGACTTGGCTTTGTTAAGGCATTGATTTCCAGGAGCTCGAGAGTCTACTTCGACTAGTGACTTGTTGAGTAAGTATTGTACAAGCCTAAGCTTTATTTCTACCCCATTTTCATTGAATTTGATTAGTTGAGAATTGAATCATGAAGTTTTAAGGTGTTAAAATCTAAAAGAAAGGTTTAAAAAGGGCTTTCGAATATGAAACTAATGTTTTGTGACTAGTTTAGAGTTAAATAATTGAGTTTTGAGAGTTTAGGCTCAAATTAGTCTAAATTAGTAGGTTGAAACTAAGAAATTAGTTTGTAGAATGAGTTAAGAGGTTGTTATAGTCATTTGAGTAGTCTGTAGGGCTAATGACTATAGATGATGGATTATATAGATTTGAAAGGTGTTAACTGAACTGTTTTGTATGTTAAGGTATTCAATTTAGCCAAATCAATGCCTATGCTAAATATTAGAAATTAACTTAGGGACTTTGCATTGTGTAGATTGAGCATTTGTAATGTTATTCGTGAGAATCTACACTCTGGGAATTCAACACAATTGGTAACCCTTAACAGTGAGGGTAAAAAGTAACTAGAATAACCTTTTTACTTGTTCATTTGTGAAATTATTTACAAGTATTTTTATATAACTATGTGCATTGTACTTATGAATTGATAGAGTAGTAATATTGTAAAAGGAATATATGTGCAGGTGTGTGAGTAATGTATGAAATGAAATTAAAGAGACATATTTGTAATATCCGCCTTAACATTACCAGGACAACACTCTAACACGCTATTGTGATAACCTAAATTAATTAAAATCCCAAGTAAGTTGTCACAACCTAAAGGTTTAAAAGTAATTAATTTAAAAAATTGAGATTCCAAAAAAAAATCCTTTTTCAAAAGTTGTTTGAGCTTAAATTATAATTTAAAGTAAATTATATGTGATAATAGAAGCATGAAAATACAAATCGATACTTAAAAATACAAAAGGAGCAATTTGAAAAATTTTAGAATTTTCACCATCCACCGTGGCATAGCCACACTCATTGCGATGGACGACACAGAGGGATGAATCCCTTGGCTTGAATTGTGCCGCAGAGTGACAACATGTGTCGCAGCACGCGCCTAGTGTCATGATAGTACTTCAAACTTTCGAAGCACACCGTTTCATCATCTAACATCCGATTTGAGCTATTCAAGTATTTATATGAAACTCTTTGAGCCCTCTAACTAATGGCACCAATCTTACCCCTAAATTCTCAACTGTTAAAAAAATGGACACCCGAACACAAAACGGTCCATTTTCATTTCAAAACACACCCAATGGTATCCAAAACTCACAACCTAGTACCATTAGCTCCAAAACCACTTTGACCAACTTAAATGGACCACACATGACATATCAACCCAATTATATCACACAAATAACCTTTCACACTCAAAATGAGTACCAAACCCCCAATTCTCAACAATGCAATGGGGTGGATCTAATTCAACATGATAATCATTTTACCATTTTTTCTCTCCTCCTCCTTGCTGCGTCTATTCTTCGTCAGCTTCCCTTTATCGATTTCTGTTTTTGTTCTGCTCTGTTTTTCCATTTTCTCATCATCTCCCACTCTTCGTCTCTTTACTGTCATTTTTCCTCTTTGTTTCATCTGGTATTTTTCTCCTATGTCTCTCCTCTCCTGTTTTCCTCGTCCGTTCTCAGTCTCTCCCTCATTTCTAGCTCTCTTTTTTTTCAGTTTTTCCGTACTCTATGTTTTTTCTGCACAGCTGTATTCTCTCTGTTTCGTTTCTTCCATCTCCTCTAGTTTTCATTCCTGTTCCGTGCTCTCTCTCGTTTCTAGCTCTCTTTTTTTAGTCGTCTTCCAGCTTCTCAGCTCTACTTCTTCAGGTTTTTCTCCATCTCTTCCTTGCCATTTTCATGTTCTATTTTGAACGCTGCCATGCTCTATTTTTTTCTTCATTTTGCTGTCTCTCTAGTTTCGGTCTCTCCTCCTTTTTCTTGCTAGTTTTCTGCCTTTTATTACTGAAGCTTGGGATCTTCCTCTTGTGTGAACGTCTGGGTTCCCTCTGCTCCTACTGATCTGCTCTTGCGTGTGTTTCCTTTCTCTTGTCCAATCATTTCTGTGTCTGATGTGTTCAGCTTCTCTTTCACTGGTGTTTTCTCTCTACCTGCCAAAAGTCTGTGTGCATGCATCATGGTTGCTTGTTGCTTCTTTTGCTGTGTTTTTCTGCTCGCGTGTGGGTGCTGTTTCTGCATTTTGTGTCTCTGTTTCTGCTGTTTGTTTCTTTTTCTGCTGCATGGCTGAAAGAGTGTGTTTGTGTGTATGTACGTGTGTTTCGTGTGTTCTAATGCTACATGTATCTATTTTTTTTAAGCCATTCTTTAATTTAATGCCTTTTTTATTAATTAGATTGAGGGAGAGAAAGAAAAGGCTAATTTTAAAACATATATTTTTAAATGGAAAACAAAAGATTTAAGGAGAGAAATTTAACAATAGTTGAGTCTCAAAAAATTAATTCCCAATATCTTTGAATGATTGGGATAATTTGAGAGAGATTTTTAAAAAATTTAAGCAAGATTTTTTTAAAATATAATCCTAAAAAAGCATTAAATTTTTTTTTATATTTTTTTATATTTTTTAATTATTTATTATTAAATTTTAAAAAATACCCGGACAAAATACAGTGTTCACAAGTGATGTTAGTGAAATTTGGGTTGTGAATGAGTTTCTGGAGGCATTTGTAAATGAGGTTTCAGGTTTGCTACCAGAGCAAGAAGTAGAGTTCTCCATTGATTTGCCACCTACTACTGAGCCTATTTCAAAAGCACCATATCAAATGGTTCCTTTTAAATTGGTGGAACTTAAGAAATAACTCGAGGAGTTGTTAGAGAAGGGCTTTATACATCCTAGTGTATAGCCATGGGTTTTCCAGTCCTGTTTTTGAAAAAAAGGATGGCAGCCTATGGCTATGCATTGATTATCAGCAACTAAATAAGGTGACAGTAAAGAAAAAATGCCCACTTTTGAGGATAGATGATTTGCTAGATCAATTGATGGGAGCTTTAGTGTTTTCTAAGATCGATTTACGATCTAAGTACCGTCAATTGAGGGTAAATACATAAGATGTGTCTATGACAGCATTTCATACTCAACATGGTCACTTTGAGTTCTTAGTAATGCTATTCGAGTTGACGAATGCACCTACAGTTTTCATAGACTACATGAATTGTATATTTAATCCTTTCTTAGATCAGTTTATTGTCGTGTTCTTAGATGACATACTAATATATTTCAAGGATGAGGAGGAGCATGTGAA